GAGATAATTTGTCTTTAATTATAGACTATGGACAAAAAGAGTGTCTAAGGTGTCGAGAGACCAATAATAATAATAATAATAATAATAATAATAATAATAATAATAATAATAATAATAATAATAATAATAATAATAATAATAGTAATCGTAAATATGAACATAAGCGAACTTCATATATTAAGATGAATGGAAAGAAAAGGAAATAAACGAGAAAAGTTTCGAAGGTTTTACTTTGCTTTTCAGTCAACTGGATAGATGACGGACCTTTTTTGTATATATCATTGTTAAACACATCGATATTCTATAGGTGACACAATCCACTTTTAGAAAGAAAATCATCAAGGGGACTTTTGTACGAAGTCGTAGTTTCACGGCAACGGAAGTTCTCTGGCAGTCTGTTCCACATGATTAAGTAGCGAATAACGAAAATATTCTGAAGTAAGTTTATGTAGGATCTCGGAGTCGCTAGAATATTCTTCTTACTGAGTAGATTGTGGTATGATGCCACAGAGTATGAAGGATTAGCTACCGAAGAGTAGAAAATATAGTGAAGAAGACGGCAGATATAGACAAGATTTAATTTTATACGCCTGGTCCAGAGAAGTTTTAATTTGAGTTGTTGACATCTTTGGTGATAATCCTTGCTGTCGGAATATCCCAAAACAGCTTTAATGAATCTTCGTTGAACACCTTCAATTTTGATCAAACCATTATGCCTGCAATTACTGTAAACTAAAATACTATATTCAAGAATGGGTAAGATACATTTTTTGTATAATTATATTCTCCATTCGATATTATTGAAGTTTATCATTATGAATCCAATGAGCTTTCTAGCATTGGATACTTGAGATGCAATGCGCTCTGAAAAGTTCAAACTGTTGCTATCTATCAAACCCAAATCACGGACAGTGTTGAGAGGTTTCAGTGTATGTTTGTGTATTGCCAGATTTGGGTTAAGTCAGCGGCCGATGTGGATGGATCCATTTTTGTCAAAATTAAGTGGTAGGTTCCGCCAAACAGTTTATTCGTACAACTTGTTTACTTCTTCTTGACTTACCACTGAAATATAGCTTTCTTTGTATGGGAGAAGAGAACGAATAAACCACTTTTCGGTCATCGGCAAAAAGGAAAAGTTTACCATATTGAAAAAGAGAACATACATCATTAATCAAAAGGAGAATGAGTAATGGGTCAATAACACTTCCTTGTATAACCCCACCAGTTATATTCACAGGCTTAGTGTAACAAGATTCAAAGCGGGTGATTTGGTTACGTTCTGCTAAAAAAGATTTGAGTAAAAATAAGAGGGGATTCCGTATACCAAATGAAGAGAGTTTTGGTAGAAGTTTTTGTGAGACATTGTCGAAAGCCTTATTAAAATCGAATTACAGAATTATCGGCTCATTTAAGGAAAGACTAGACACTAAGAAACTTACTGGAAAAGGACTAACATAGAACGTAGTCCTTCTATCTTCAATACAGGAAGCTGAATCTGAGGCACACGAAATAAATAAATGTGGTACAACCTGGATTCCTCATTATCTCTGCCACATTTTACATTTATGTTGGTGAAATAACATCAAGCACTAGCCGAATCGCCTGCTGTTAAAGTCTAACTTCCGTTGATACCACTGAAGTACCTGTAGAGGTAAATAAATCTCCACAATACATAGTTCTACAAGTCTTCGATGTTGGTGCTGGCTTCATTAGTCTAACTGGACACACTTAACTGAAGGCGCTCGGCCACGCATCTGCACCACATCACGAGTGAGTGCCCAGTGCTACGCATCCTTGCAACCGCTAGCCGGCTTATGTCAAACACTTCTCAGCATATAGATAGCTTTGAGCTTCTTCATTTCTGACTTCCGATTTGACTGGGTCGGTATATTTGTATTAGATAGGTGTTACGTGTGAAAGTGTTGTCAAATTATCAATACCTGTGGCATCTTTGAACTCAGCTGTTTGGCTGTATTCTACTCAGTCTACTGAAGAGACATTGCCTGTTCTCTCAGAAGATAAATTGTAATGGAGACTGGCCAGGAATATTATTTGGCAGAATCGGAAGTTCAGTGATAAAAAATCATTTGAACTTTATAAAATTGTTTGCGGACTTTAAATACCAGGCAATATTTTGTTGTAACTTCCTGATATTGCATGAAGTTTCAATTGTCTCCTCTCTATAACTACATTTTTCTTTCGCTGGAAATTGTTTTCATCATCTAGGCAGGCAACTATGGTTCTCTTATTCGACTGTTCGTCATCATCCCTGGCAAGCTCGTAATTAAGAGTTAACATCAGTCAAGCTGAACTTACTCCTATACTCTGTACATAGGCGAATGAAAATTGAAAGCTGGTGGTCCACGTCTCTTGAAAGCATTTTTAGCTTTTACAACGATATCATACAAAAGACCTTTACAACTTCGCAAAATTCAAACTGAGGCTCGCATCCTTCTCAATCTTTTCGACTAAACCGAACAACCGTCTGAAGAAAGAGAAATAAAAGTTATTCCAGCAAAGTGAAGAACTTAGATTTAAGAGGTCTTTGCACTGATAACGTTTGAAATTAAACTGTAACAGTGCAGAATATCATCAAACAGAACCAGTGACCTGTAACCCTGATGGTGATAGCTCAGTAAAATGAGACAAGGCATTTATATTTTGTGTATCTCGCAAATTCGATTTTATCATCACCTCTGTACGATGATTCACATTGGAGGTAAATGGAAGTGAAGAGTGATCATATGACTTCTCTCCATGGATTCAATATGTTAAAAAATGATGGCAGTTGCATTGTGCTTCAAGCCAAGAACAGCTTGTTTAAGCTATTTGTGTAATCATCTGCGTACTATGGGGGAATGGATATGTGAACTAATGAGATGTCGGCTGAAATGTGAGTCATAAGATATCACATTATACGCAGTACACCGTACTCTAAGAGCAACGCATTAGCCCCAATCAAACTGCAGTTGTGGCCAGTTAGGCAGATAGATTTTAAAGTAGTAAATTCTAACACACAACCGTGTAGGTTCTTTAACTATGTGTGATTTAAAATCGTTAAGACAATCACTACAAATCAAAAATGGACTAACAGAAAGTGGCTATGCGGAGTCAACAACAAATCCGTCCACCCACAACCTTCTAGAGTTTTAATTATCCTCAAACCTTGCAGAGCATCGTATTGCTGTAATCTGATAGACTCTCAACACCTCTCGCGCGTCATCGCAGTATTTTACCTTTACGAAGACAATATCAACCATATCCGTTAACTCAGCCCTATGTATAAGTAACCTCACAGTTTTCATGTTCAATATCACTGCTGCTATGCCCTACCATCCTGATAAACAAAATCAGATAGGCATGGGTCACATACCTAACGCATACGTTTGTCAAGGTCACAGGCGATATCAAACTCTTTTTGCTTTACAACGACTATAAAGCTAATCTGTTGACTGTGATGAATAGATGAACTATTACCCTTGGTTTTGAGGAAACAGTAGATGTATTCTCAGAAGCTTTCAATAGATTCTGTCATACTTGTCTTATCAATAAGCTCAATCTGATAGGCGTTCACCAGTGATGGGCTGAATAACGTCACATCTGAATAGAGGGCTGTTTATGATCAGAGCATTTTTCTCACTTTCACAGGCTACAGGATGCCTTAGCAGGATCCTCATGGTTTCATACTAAAACTTTTCTCTTTTTGATTTGTATGGATGAACATCTGCAACTACTGCTCGTTTTTGACGCCAAGGTTTGGAGTACAATGTGAAACCAGGGTGACAGGTTAGAATTTCGAAGTGATCCGACTCAAATTCGAAGTTCTTCAGGTAACAATGAACATATATCCAGCACTTCAGAATATGAGAGTTTATGATATACTTCATTACCACATATACCCTTTCGACAGTCCTCCTCTAGACCTTTTACATATCAAAAAGTGACATAGATTCTTTGGTATCCTTTAGCCTTCATCATATGCTAACTGTGAAAAAGTTTTAAAAGAAAACGTGGCAAAATATAGAGAACTGGACTTTAAGCACGCCGTCCTCATAGGTCTTGGGACTTGTTGTCGTCTAAGTCCAAGCCACCTTTTTAAGGAGTCCCTAAAGAGGGAACCAATTATTTATTTAAGGACTTACAGTAGTACACAACACCAATGTACTAATCTTTCTCTTGCCTGAGTTCATCTCATATGAGAGGTGTCGGTAACCTTCTACCATTAAGCATAGGAGCACATCAAGCGAAAGCTGGAGAGCTTTGGAAGCGGTGAGATTATCTAGAGGAGAATACAATGTAGAACATCAACGTTGATGTTCTATGTCGAAATGATTGGGGGCTTACTAGAGTTAGACGAGAATGGTGACGAACCAACTAACGCTGAAGTCACACCTCGCGACCAGCACTTTACGTGGATTGCCCCCATCGACGTAACAAGGGACCATGGATGCTATGGAGACTGTACAACACAAAGGACGTTATTACAAGAATATATTAGTTAAGGTACAACCACGGAAGTACAGGAGCGAAAGTACAGCCACTGCCGCGTGGGCCAGTCCATGGCGTATGATTGACTGGTGCACGTTGACTATCCTTGACAGGGATCGATGATCTGTTCGATGTTTAGTGAGATTTCACCGACCCTACAACAACAACAGAAAAGCTGGGCAGAAAGCTCAGTAAGCACGCAGAATGCACTTACATCTAATAGCGTGAGCGAGTGATAACAATCAGAAATAAAACGAGTCTAAGATTAGGACAGTTTGATAATTGAAACAAAACATCGATAGTGAAGGGTTTCGAACGTATTACGCAGGACGTAAATCAAATCTCATCGCTACACTCGGGGATTGCTGTATGGCGAAGGTCAACATTTGTAATGTTGAGGTTTTGGACAACCCTGCTTCATTTTTTGATCCATTTAAGTTCCGTATAACATTCGAGTGTCATGAACCTCTGGATGATGGTGAGCCCATATACTTTTTAAATGATCACTAGTAGCACCAAATTGTGGAGGTTTAGTAGAGCTCTCCTCATAAAGGTAAAGACAAATTCATACTCCAATGGGAAACCAGTCCTGGGAGATTCTATCACCACCCAGAGATCTTTTGTGATGTAGTCAGTTGTAAAGATCTACAAGTTATACTACTACTTGAAGAAGTGCACGGAAAAAGCACTCGAAACTCAGGTCTGATGTTGACACTTCACCATCATTGTCATTAAAATATTATTAAAATAATTGTCTCAGGAAATAGCTTGTGTTTCTCGCATTGGCAGGTTCATTCCTCAATTTATCTTCATCTAGAGTAACAGATCATAATGAAATAGTAAAAGGACAAGTTACGACGATTAAAGCAAACGGCCAGCTGTTATGCGTCTCTGTAATCTTCTATTCGAGCCGTTACCAGTTGGTAGTAATAACTGCTTCCCGCACCATATAAAAGGCCGTGTATAGATTAAATCCTATCAGTGATTATCTCGATCTTATGTGAGCAAGTAATGCAGCTAATCAAATGGAAATTAAGGAATTATTTCTGCCATCTAGGCATTATAGTTCTCAGAAAGGCCGCTTTTGTATCACTTCAGTCGCTAGGTCTGGTTTGTGAATAAACGTAGGACGCTTTGTATGACAACAATCAGATTAAGTTTGTGTATCCAGATGTTTTTGAAACTTTCCTAAGTACCGCTCAACACAAAACAGTAAATGCTACTGGTTTTCCAAACTACCATTCCCTCTGGCGTTGATGGTATCTGTAAACCCCGTTGTAATAATAAACCTGTTACTATACGTGAGGTCTTCCTAATAATGACTTGCATCCAACATAATTTGATCGTATGCAGTCTATGTTATGCACCTGTGACGCAACTAGTCCTCTGAAGCAATACATAATATCATATCCACATCTTACCTAAGGATTTGCAGTAGAATATAAACTATGGAAAGTCAAACTATAATAGGTCGACATAACTGTTGACAGATCATACAGAACTTAATCAGATAGTAGACAGTAAGAACATCGAATAATTAGGATATTCTGTGTGAATACTCGTTTATAGCTACTATTGACCAGATTAATTTACAAGTGTAGATTATGTCAGGTTAAAGTGATTATGTACTGATTTCAACAAGCAATTAAAATCTAAAGTACTCAGGAGAGGTGATTGTCTTGGGTTGGCGCATCTGTTATCTTTGTTTTGTTTACACCTGACCCCCCAACCTTGATTAGTAAGGCAGTTTTTGGACCATTATTCCACTTTTCACTTGCTTGAACTAATAAGCTGCACTTTATGGGGTTCAGATGCTGATTTAATATACATTCCATTCTCCAGGTTTGCTCAAATCAGTATTCCACTTTTAAATGTGATCTTGGTAATTGGTTTTGTCCGAAAAATAAAATACTTCCACAATAATTCATATTACAGTTAGTGTTTTTTGATGGATTTAGATCTAGAATGGAAGTTAGTGTACGTTAGCAGCGCATACAACCCATCTTTAGACCAGACATTGGATTCCATCTTAGTTGGTCCAATTCCAGTTGGTCGTCATCAATTTTCTTTTGAGGCTAATGCTCCTGATCCAAAAATAATTCCTAATGAAGATATTGTTGGCGTAACAGTTGTGCTTATACAAGCTTTGTACAGAGATAAAGAGTTTATACGTGTTGGTTATTATGTTAACAATGAGTACAAAACAGAAGAATTACGTCTTGAACCACCGGCTGAACCTCTGCTTAACGAAGTATGTTTACTTGAATAAACAGTTCTCTATTCTTGTTCATTTTCATAAGTGAAGTAATCATCTAATATGTTTCTATAGTAGTACAGATTTTTTCTCACTATCTGTAAAGTTGTCCCTAAAGGAAGCATCTTCACTCGCTTTTTTCTGTTGACCTCCAAACACAGTATTACACAATTCATTTGTATATCAGATAGTTACAGATACCTAATTTCGGGTCCATGGTTTACTGTTTATGTTGCAGGTACTAACGATTCCACTTCTGTTTAGGCATCTGGGCTATATCGTCACCTAGCACATACTTCTTAAAAGCCAAATACATTAATCTACCGAATAAATGGAGTTCAGATAACCAACTATCATTAAAAAAATAACAAAAATGGTTAGACCAATCCTAATATAGGCTTCGAAATTTTTCCATGATCTTAACTTGTTCTGTAAGGATTAGTTACCTCCCATTTGAAAGTATGAGTTCAGAAGAAAGGTGCAGAACATTGTGGGGGATTATGACTCAAATTTATGTGTATTCTGTTCCTTATCACAGCCAAAGTGTAATATTGCAGGATGGGGCTGGTACTAATACGCATCGAGCTAACTTCTTTAAGAGTTATGGCAGCTTGAGCCAACCCACATCTGTGCCAGGCCTATGTTAATGATGTCTGCCTGTCCGAATCCCAGTTAAATTGTTTCTCATAGTGTTATATTCATCGTCTCGGTCACATGTTTTAAAAGTGGACCACAGTCGCGTCTCCTTACCCGATAGTCTAACTAACATCCAAATTTTTGGAATGTCCCTTTGTTGGGTCTTAGCCTGTCTACTTAAACGATATAATCACTTGCTACAATCTCACTTGAGGATTTAGTTTTTCAATAAAAGCCAGGAATAACTTGATTTTTTCTTCATTGAGGACGTAGTCAGTGAAGTTGTTTGTGAAAATCTCTAAGAGGCAAAAGCCCCCAAAATCCATGGTACGGCCGAGAGTGGGGAGAGTCCACTCTCCCTCTCGAAATGCTCTCACATGGCCAGCGAATATATAGCCTCTGCCAGGGAAGTCCTACTCACTGCCTTCTCGTGGCGGGGGTGTTGTTTACGAAAGTAAGAGGACGAAGAGCGAATGTCCGGCGCTTTAACCGGGTTGGTGGACATGGAGGGTCCATCTAGGGGAGTTGGAAAACCCTGATTCCAAACCAATGGTGCACATGGGCTCCAGTATCCTGATGGAACGAATGGCGTATGAACCTATTGTTGGTCACCGGCTACCATGGGACTGCATCTCCTCACGATGCTCCACTGCCTTGTGGATCAGACTTTTAGGTCAAAGGCTCGGGGTGTGGCCCCCTGAGAAAACCATCTGCTTCAGTCTGAGCACCTGGGCAGTATCTCAGCCCTCACACAAATCAAACGAGATTTGTGCGGCGCATATTTATCTGGTGCTTTCTTGTACAAATATTTATGTGTTTAAATAAATAAATAAGAGGCAAAAGAGTGTATTCCTATCCTTTCGACTTGTTGTTCTGTCTAATAGAGTAGTGCACAAGCGACTACCAACTGAAACCCGGTCCTGTACTCCCACTTCTGCCTTCTCAACCAATACTATACATACACTTGCGAGACCATAAAGTGTTGCTAATGAGCCTCGTGATACGTGAAAGATGATTCGTCATGGTTCTTTACGATGGATTGCCTTAGTAATTTCTTTACATGATTGCCCGGAATTGCCCATTTGACTTGTATTTTTTGTGGTATAAGACTCATGATCGGTGTGATCCAATGCCGATTATTTGTTGCTTCGGGTTGTCAGTCAGTCACAACGTGGAACTTCGTACGTGCGCACATCAGTTCGAGTTGCCATATCACATTACCACAGAGATAGAATTGTCAATTCAAGTACCATAGTTTTAGAGGTAGTAAGAGTATAAGCAGTAATCCGAAAGATGAGGGTTTGATGATGTTATTCAAGGATTATAATCCAGTGAAATAAATTTGGAAAGAGAAAAAAAGGGACATGAAGAATTCAGAAGATGGGAATTCGGGAGAACACAATGAGTGGATGCACCTGCGTCATTGCAAACGATTTTGAGCCATGTTATCCAAGGTCTCTAACCATCGGTTGCTATCGTCTCGCGCATCCCAACCAGGAAGTCTACACCTACCAACATAGCTCAGTCCACTTGTCAGTGCCTTCGTGGATTTGTGCCACGTTTTGGTCTGGCCGCTCATAGCTTTCTTCCAACCTACTCCTACACCATAAAGCATTGCACGTCGGGGAAGTCGGTGGTTAGGCATACGTAACACGTGTCCCAGCCATCTCAACTGATGAAGTTTCACTACTTCATCAGTCGATTCGCCATCCTTACCCAGTACTTGTTTCTTAACAACTTCATTACTTACTCGGTGGTCCCAGGATATACGAGCAATGCTTCGAAGACACCTATGATCGAATACTAGTAGCCTACGAATATCCTCTACTCTTATCGGCCATGTTTCACTGCCATAAAGTAGGACGGAGCGAACTGCACAGTAAACCCGTCCTTTGGTTGCTAGACGGATATCTCGCCTACGCCATAAATGACGCAAGTTGGCAAAAGATAGTCACACCTGTATCCGTGCTGAGATTTTGTCACACCAGACCACAAGGGATGATGGGACTCCCAATATAAGTGAAGCGGTCGACACTCTCAACCGCTTCACTCCCTATCATTAGTTCGGGTGTCGATGTAACCCAATCCTGAAGTAACATTTTACATTTCGAAGGGGGGGGGAATTACATCCCGAACATGCCTGCATTGTTGCTTATAGTGGTCAGAAGACTGCATTTTGTCAGCGTCTTCACCAAATAGAACTGTGTCATCGACGTATTCTAAATTAACAAGTAAGTCTCCCGCTAAAAGTTCAACTGCTTTAAATTTGGATGAGGAAAGTGTTATTTCTAAAAGCACGTCTACGATAAAGCTAAACAAGAAAAGGGAGAGTGGACAGCCCTGACGAACACCATTCGAGGTAATCAATTCTGATGACAGTTCGCCATAATCTCTCACTCAGCTAGGGTTAATGTACTTCTTTGGTACTCCTTTCAGTGACGAACACTGCCATAGAACCTCAAGATCAACAGAGTCAAATACCGCCTTGAGGTCGAGTAATACTACTATTGTGAGGCGTCTGAATGTGTGTCTATGTTCTAGGACCTGACGTAGTGTGAATATCTGTCTATACAACCACGTCCAGGTCGAAAACCAGCCTGGTTTTCTCTAGTCTGATCTTCACGAGCTTTGGTTAGGCGTCGAAGTATTATTGTAACTAATATTTTAGACACTATATTAGTCAAACTGGTTCCTCTGTGATTGTTACAAGAGGACTTTTGTCCTTTTTTATAGACTGGCACAATCAGTGATTGGGACCAGTCAGATGGAATTACGTCTAGGTCCCAGATTCTACCTAAGACCTCTGTCAATGTCACTGCTAGTACTGGACCTCCATCCTTAAAAATCCCAGGGGTAAACCTGTCAGGGCTTGCTGCTCTCCCTCGCTTCAGATTTCCTATAGCTTTTTCAACTTCGTAAAGAGTTGGAGAATTTACATTAACTTGCTAATCAGGACGACTGGGGATCGTGGGATACCGAAGTGTGACTGAAGACCAGTTGAACTGATCTCTAAAGTGTTCTGACCATCGATCTAAGCTCCTGGATTCAGAATGAGTAATATGTCCATCTTTTTCCGAGATAGTTTCGCTGACAGTTGGGTTCCTAATACCGTTTTTTTTAACAAGTCTGAACAGCTATCTGCTGTTGCTTATTGCACCTGCCTTTTCCATCTCTCTTGCTTTCGCTACCCACCACTGTTCGCGGTCATTGCGTAGGCTTCTTATCAGCCTGTGCTTAAGCTGACTCCGCTCTTCGCCATGTTCAGAGCGAGATGGGATGAGTTTTCGAGCATATATCAGTGAGGTAGATGCTGCGGAGATCCAGTGCTTCTCCCCAACCTTATGGCTTACCGTATTAGCAGATATCACTGCTGTTTCTACAGCTTTTCAGATGTCTTTCCACTCCGCCTCGGGAAGGGACATCACTTACATGGCTGTCTAACTGTTTTTCTATGTTCCTGAAATATATTCTTAGCTTGCCTATCATTAAGTAGAATCCTAAGAGGTTTCTCTGCAGTGTCTTTCCTACGTCCAATAAGACGCAGACAGATACGTGCTCGCACTAGAGCATGATCTGAATTTCAGCATGTGTTCCAGAATGAGCGTCAGTCTTCTATCGAGCCCCTCCATAGGTGGCTGATAGCAATGTGATCTAGTTGGGTCCAACGTTTGAACGAATTCGGGGGTCGCCATGTCAAAAGATGTTGAAGTTCTAGATAAGGAAGCCTGTTGTCCTATTTGGCACAATGTTCGGACGTTGAAAGCTCCTACATGCAGTTTACAGCGTGGTTTCAGAAGGCCAGGAATAACGTTCCGTGTACTCGAATCGGTTGCCCTAGCGGTACGGGGTGATAAATGCACGTGAAAAGGGTTAGTCGAGGAGATACGAGAGTTATTACGAGATGTAGGAAGGATTTCAATGTAACCAACTTGGTTTCATGTGCTGTCACGGGTATAAGGGCTAATATTACTTCTCGGCTGTCCACACCGTGGAAGGGTATTTCTTAAGGGACCTGAAAAGGAAGTTGATCTTAACGACCTGGGAGCGTGACCACAGAGCCCAAAGGACAACTGCTTGCGGCCTTTCACGCACTGCCTTTTTGTGGGAGGTTTTCGACGTGTTAGCTCCGTTCTTGAAAGGGTCTTATCGCGGGAGACGGAAGTCCGTGAGGTAATGTGAGGCGTGACATTTTTAGGGTCGACTTTTTCTAACCCCTTCCTTCCTTGTGAGAAAGTAGCATCGCTGCAGATGCTGGTTGTCCTAGGGAAACACCTTACTGTTGTCACACCCCTTTACAGTCAGCAGTATGACTTCGCCCTCAGACCTTGATTTGCTGCTATTCGTATTACCGTTCTCCAATCGACTTTCTTGGTATGGTAGAACCTACAGGAACATATGTTCCAGCCAATATAGCTCGTTTGGGTCATCACGATAGACAAGCCTGACCACCACGTCAAGGTAGCAGCTACGGGTTGTAAGAACAAACAAGATCATTGTGTGGGAATTAAGCAGAAATCAGCTTAAGCAAAATTCCAAAATTTCAAATATTGATTTGCCTTTCGAGTGGTGTGCTAGAATAATGCTTAAAGCAAGTCAACTTTCAACCATTAGGTCCCAGGTTTGAAACCTTCACTATTTTCAGTCTTAGCGGTCGGGTAGCTTCACTAATGCTCATACCAGGAGTGGAATTTTCCATGGAGCTTTAAACCTATACTTGATAAATATGCTATATTATTATTTGATTTTATCCCAAATAAGGTATAAAAGCATCGTGTTAAATGTTTTCAGAAGACCTTCACACCTATATGAGTTGCAAACATACTGCTATTTATAGTTTTGGTACTTTGTGATTATCAGTTAGTGGTTTCTGTTAGTTCCTGCAATCTTGGACGTTAAGTAATCATGACTAATTGAATGAGACTACACATGGCTCTTATACTATAATTATATTTTTCAACCTAAGTAGTAGTAATTTTTACACCCCAGTAACCAACTGTAGACCCACGTACTTAGTTTAAGGCACATAATGTAAGGTTCAATAATACCATGCAGTTGTCCAAATTAAATTGGGTGGAACCAGCGTTTGAACCTATAACTCAGCGATTGAAAGTTTAGCGTCCCGACCAACTTGATCGGTCAGTTCGGGACACTCCACGAACACAAAAGTAGGCTATATATATTATCCTGCAAGGTTTTTAATCTTCGGAATAAGGTGGGTTAAAATTTAAGAACTGCATATGTGAAACAAAAATATGATACTCATCAATTGGAAAATATAAAACCATGCTTTCTCAGTCATAACCATGGATATGGGTGACAATTAGTTTTTTTTTTCACGATATTTTGGTACAAAAGTTTAATTAGAGCTAACAAGAGCAACCCTAACAAATTGTAATATATATTGACATCTTCCGTAAGTGCATAGAAAAGCGGAATTTATGATGTTCTATCTAAAAACCTTGTGATACTGATAAATAAAATAACGATTTCTGATTCTTCATATCCCTATTCTTACGTAAAAAACGAATATCCAGTATCTAACCTAGTGATGAAACCTCAACATTAAGGGGCCAAAATCATCCTGTGATAACCATACAGGGATTAGTCTGACTAACATATTATCTAAAATACTAGCCTCAATAATTATCGGGCGCCTAACTAAGACTCGTGAACTGCAAACACGAGAAAATCAGGCTTGTTTCAGACCTGGTCGTGGCTGTATCGACCACATATTCACCATTCGTCAAGTTTTAGAGCTCAGACATGCTTATCGGCGTCCGACAATGATAGCTTTTCTTGACTTAAAAGCAGCATTTGACTCTGTAGACCGAGAGGTTCTGTGGCAGTGTCTGTCATTGAAAGGTGTACCTGAGAAGTACATAAACCTTGTGAAGGCTCTTTACTCGAACACTACCAGTCGAGTGAGAGCTTATGGCGAACTGTCATATGATTTTACAACCTCAAGTGGTGTCCGACAAGGCTGTCCACTATCCCCATTTTTGTTTAACTTCATTATAGACCTGTTGCTGGAAATAACACTCTCGTCGACTGAGTTTTCAGGAATTGATCTTCTACCAGGAGGTTCACTTATCGACTTAGAATACGCAGATGACATAGTCATGTTTGGTGAAGATGCTGACAAAATGCAGAGTCTTCTGTTGGAACTCAGTAATAATGCCAGGATGTTTGGGATGCCTTTCTCCCCATCCAAATGTAAATTGTTACTTCAGGACTGGCCTGCGTCAACACCTGAACTAAGTATAGGGAGTGAAGTAGTCGAACGCGTCGACAACTTCACTTATCTTGAAAGTCTGATCAGCCCTAATGGGTTGGTGTCTAACGAAATCTCAACACGGATTCAAAAAGCTCGTTTGGCTTTTGCCAACTTACGTCACCTATGGCGAAGACGAGATATCCGTCTATCAATTAAGGTACGAGTATACTGCGCAGCAGTTCGTTTTGTTCTACTTTACGGCTGCGGAACATGGCCATTAAGAGTAGAAGATACTCGTAGGTTACTAGTATTTGGCCACAGATGCCATAGAAATATTGCTCGCATCTGCTGGGATAACCGGGTAAGTAATAGTGAGATTAGACACAGGGTATTAGGGAATGATGGTAAATCAGTTGATGAGGTTGTGAATCTTCATCGACTGAGATGGTTGGGCCATGTGTTACGTATGCCTGAACGCCGATTACCACGATGCGCAATGCTGACTAGTGTAGGGGATGTTTGGACGAGGGCTAAGGGAGGCTAAAGTGAATCGTGGCATCAGAGCTTGAAGTCACTAACTTCTAGTCTGAGCTATGTTGGTAGATGCAGACTACTTGGTTTGGGTCTGCGTGACTATCGTAACCAATGTTCGGAGACTGTGGGTGACATGGCTCAGAAACGATTACAATGGCGTAGGTGTATACACTCTTTATCTTCCCTTAAACCTTGGGATTAAAATTGCTTCATAACTTTTTTCCTCCCTATACTATATCCTTATATACAACCTTTCTTTATATACTACCACCACTAAATTAATTACTTCTATGAATCCGATGTTCATCTTGTTGTGCCAACGAGGTATGGCAACTTGGACCGATGCATATATGTGCCTGGTCGTACGTTGTCGCTGACTGACTGACTGAACATTAAGGTTCGAAGGACATTTAATAATTAGAACTGCTTTCAAAGCGCATATATTGTTTGTACCAAACTAAAACTTTTTCCTGGAAGTTTTATACAATAAGAGTACACATAAGTTCCGAAATCCAGACGAATTGCTTATATAACCCAGGCTAAAAACTATTATTTATTACTCACTATCATGGCTAAAACCGTAGACAAGTATAATCTTGAGACTAAAAAGGCTCTACAAACTGCAGTTTTCAAATTATGCTCTTTGACCTATCAGATGTATTACCATAAATGATCTTGTTGTTTGATCCATGTCAGCAAACACAGACTGGTTGAGGTCCTCAGGACTGTTCTGAACAACGTTGAAGAAGTTTGGTGACGTTGCTCAAAATCGGTCCCAATGGCCCAGATTCAGTCGCTCGTTGTGTACCTCTGGACCCCAGTTTCCAAAATCATTCTATACTTTGTTACCCCGATAATTTATTCTTTCTTTTTGAACCATATATTTAATACCACTGATTCTACTATTGCTTTGCTATTCATCTTGAATATTCAATCTTACTGTACTGTTGCGTAGCAGCTTGAACTAATGCAGGTTTGTGCCAGGCTCTCCGTTAATTATGACTGGCTGAGTTTACACCGTGTATTACATATTTTCTCGAAGAGAACGTAACTATTTTTCTATAAAAACAATTTTAATCGTTAAAAGAAATTTAAAGCTATAGTTTCACTATTTTATGTCTTCAACGTTCGACTTCGGTAACATTCAGTTCCCACTCAATGATTATCTTCTATAATCTAGTACACGAACTTAAAAGTGGTTGGTGGTTTGCTCTATTGCTCTGAATAATTGGTATCTCGAAATGTGATTCTTCACTGTTGCCCTAATTTCGAATTATATGAAGTTGAAAACATGTGTTTCTTTATGTTTTCTGCCAGGATACTTCTGGCATACATACGAATTGCACACATCTATGTCTTACACTATTTTAAATTCTAAAATTTAGTCAACATAGTCCGCCTTTGTACAAACCTTTGACCATATCGCCAGCCTCTAAATCTGAAGCTGAAAGTTTTGGCCGAGTTAAACATTTTTGTTCGTATCAACGAACTAAGTGACAAAACCATGTCTTAGTAAATTCTATACTTAGCTTTCAATCATCTCTCCAATTCTTACTTCACATATTTTAGACAAGTTAAGTAGCTTAATAGACGAAAAGGTTTTTTTCAACAACATCAACTTGTTGGTATACTGACTACTTTCTTTTGAGCCGCTCATTTTGTAATGGTGTTTTGTTATTACCTTTCAAACAGCCGATGAGAAATTTAGTTGTATTAAGGAATTCATTGTTATCACTGTCAGATCAGGTTCACAAATCTTGTTGAAAATTTTCAAAGTTCATCGGGGAATATCTTTGTGAAGACCGTATATGACAGAAAATGTTATACGCACTCCATACATTACTTTTGGTAGTATAAACACTGACATAAACAAGTTTATATACAGACTGAAGCTAATTCATAAGTTACTTGTATTAGTACATTGTGCCGTCAAATAATATTAACTAAAACCCGAAAGGTGATGTCAAAGTAAATGACACGAAATAAACATTCTCACTGTTTTCTGCTTATGACTTGCCTAGTTGATGCGATGTATCAACAAGTATTTAAAACAAAGAACCTACAAACTATCGATTAGTAACTCATAGTACGGTGTGATGAATCAAAGCAGTTTATGGATTAATGGGTCAGTATGTACTCATTTACCAGGAGATTATCAAATAAATTACAACTGCTTCTGCTATCCTATCAGGATGAAGATTTTCTAGCTAGATATCGCTTCACCTGGTGATAAATTCAGTACGATATTGAATAGAAAATGTTTACCAGTTCCGTATCAACTACATACTTTCAAAGTATCGTTTTAGAAATTATTGTCTCTCTGTGGTTCCCATCATTTGACTGTTACCAGCCCATTACATAAGCAGATAACCGAAAATTGATATCTTGACTTTTGTTGTTGTCATTACGCAGTTAAAATGTATGAACCCGTGTCTAGTAATATGCTTACTTAAATTCTATTGATAAGAAAGCTTTCCTAAAATGATGTGGTAAACAACCGTTCCAATTGTTTGAATTCTATTTTTTTTTATTAAGTTCTCATGAATTTATCATAATTTCCAGCTGGAACGACATGTAATAGCTTCAGACCCTCGTGTTACTCGCTTTCCAATTGACTGGGGTGATGGTCTCTTAGATGGGTGTCCAGAACCAGAACAGCCTACAGAAGATAACGAAGAGTCTAATTTACTGGGTAATGAAGAACAAGTGGAAAATATTTCTCAACTGGATCAGGAAAATGAGGATCAAAATAATAAATTAGACCCATCTAACTTTTGTGAAGGCCAGTCTGGCGTACAGTTTATAGAAAATGCATCGTGTATGCCGCTCCATCCTGTCCAGTCATCAACTGTTCCTGTCGACACTTTTTGAATTGCTTGATAAACGTTACTTTCAAGATTGCATTTTAAAATAAACTTTTATATCAGAATTTATCACACGTCTATGATGATATTGCTATTGTATGTTCAACTCGCTATACTAGGTATCGCTCTTTTTTATGCCTACAAGATTTAATACGATTAACATTTTTTTAACTGTACAACTGTTCGATGTACCTAATAGCATTCTAATTTTATTCCTTTGCTTTTCAACCATATTGTGAATAATGGTCTGTCTGTTACATTGTTGAAATACTAGAAACATTAGACAACTATATCGAATAGAATAGGCTGTAAACCTGTAGGTTATAAATGAAAAAGAATTCGATAGTTTTATTTATTCTTGTATTGATGTCAAGGAAAAAAATAGTATATAACTCCTGGCAAAGGGTGGACAGGTCACAACACTATCAACCTGAGTCCATTGACTTATGATCTGAATCATTTAGGAAATGATAAGCTTCCTGATTGAAGTAGTTAATTTATCCTTAATTTGAAATAATTTGTCATATAACACAAAATCGACTACATTAGCGTATTGTCTTAAATATGAGTCTCTTATTACTGAATACCTGTCATCTGTCTTCACACTTCTTTTTAATTGCTTCACTATTGAAGGGATCACTACATTTACTTTTGTCATTTAATTAATCTTTTTAATCATTATGTTAATGTGAAGTGTAACAAGTCGACGCGGTCCGTACACTTTATACTTATGTATCTGCATTGTAACCTTATTCCCATGGATCTGAAGGTATATGTCCAAACGTTAATTTATGTGGTACAAATTTAGATCAACTGGTTTCGTAAATAAAATGTATCTTCCTGTCCAAGACAAATTAACTTACTTACTTACTTACTTTCGCCTGTTACTCCCAATGGAGCATAGGCCGCCGACCAGCTTTCTCCAACCCACTCTGTCCTGGGCCTTCTTTTCTAGTTCTATCCAGTTCTTGTTCATTCTTCTCATGTCTGTCTCTATTTCTCGGCGTAATGTGTTCTTTGGTCTTCCTCTTCTCCTTCGACCTTCAGGATTCCATGTGAGGGCTTGTCTTGTGACACAATTGGGTGATTTCCTCAAAGTGTGCCCAATCCACTTCCAGCGCTTCTTCCTGATTTCTTCCTCCGCTGGAATCTGGTTTGTTCTCTCCCACAGTAACTTGTTGCTGATAGTGTCTGGCCATCGGATCCGAAGTATCTTGCGTAGACAGCTGTTAATAAACACTTGTATCTTCTGGATAATGGCTTTCGTAGTTCTCCACGTCTCTGCCCCATACAGAAGAACTGTCTTGACATTTGTATTGAAAATTCTAACCTTGGTGTTGGTTGACAATTGTTTTGAGCTCCAGATGTTTTTCAGCTGTAGGTATGCTGCTCTTGCTTTGCCGATCCTCGCCCTCACATCTGCATCTGATCCACCGTGTTCATCAATGATGCTGCCCAGATATGTAAAGGTTTCCACATCCTCCAAAGCTTCTCCGTCAAGTGTAATTGGATTGGTGCATATTGTATTGTATCGGAGAGTCTTGCTTTTCCCTTTGTTTATATTGAGACCTACCGCTGCTAAGGCTGCTGCTACACTGGTCGTTTTCTCCTGCATTTGTTGTTGCGTTTGTGATAGAAGAGCCAGATCATCCGCGAAGTCTAAATCGTCAAGCTGCATCCTGCCTGTCCACTGTATCCCGTGATTTCCTCCAGATGTTGACGTCTTCATAATCCAGTCGATCACCAGGAGAAAGAGAAAGGGTGAGAGTAGGCAACCTTGCCTAACACCGGTCTTTACCTCGAATGAGTCGGTGAGTTGTCCTCCGTGGACGATTTGGCAGTTTAGTCCATCATAGGAGTTCCGTATGATATTTACTATCTTCTCAGGCACACCGTAGTGTCGAAGAAGCTTCCACAGTGTCGTCCTGTCCACGCTATCAAATGCCTTCTCGTAGTCGATGAAGTTGATGTACAGTGATGAATTCCATTCGATTGATTGTTCCACAATGATACGTAGAGTTGCGATTTGATCTGTGCACGATCTATCCTTACGAAATCCAGCTTGTTGATCTCGAAGTTGAGCGTCCACGGAATCCTTCATCCTGTTTAACAATACTCTGTTGAAGACTTTTCCTGGTATTGAGAGGAGAGTGATGCCTCTGTAGTTGTCGCACTTGCTCAGATCGCCTTTCTTTGGTATCTTGATGAGAAGTCCTTCTTTCCAGTCTGTTGGTACATGTTCTTCGTCCCAAATCTTACCGAAGAGGATGTGGAGTATCTTGGCAGTTGCTGTTACATTTGCTTTCAGTGCCTCTGCCGGGATGTTGTCTGGTCCCGCTGCTTTGCCACTCTTGATTTGTCTAATGGCCATGCTGATCTCTTCAATTGTTGGTGGGCCAATATCGATTGGGAGGTCTGTGGGTGCTGCTTCGATGTTGGGTGGGTTCAGTGGAGCTGGTCGATTCAAGAGTTCTTTGAAGTGTTCTACCCACCTGTTTCGTTGTTCTTCAATATCGTTGATTACTTTGCCTTCCTTGTTTTTCACTGGTCTTTCTGGTTGACGGTAATTTCCAGCAAGTTTCTTTGTTGTATCATACAGTTGTCTCATGTTTCCCTCTCTTGCAGCCTTTTCCGCTGTCATCGCTAAATCTTCCACATATTTACGTCGGTCGGTCCTGATGCTCCTCTTCACTTGCTTGTTTGCCTCTGTGTATTCGGCTTGTGCCTTGGCTTTTTCTGCTCTTGTTCGGCTGATATTGATTGCTACCTTCTTGTTCCTCCTTGCTTCAATTTTATCCAGTGTACCAACAGTGATCCATTCCTTGTGATGGTGCTTCTTTTGGCCCAGAACCTCCTGACATGTTGAAACGATTGCCTCCTTGATACCTTTCCAGCTGCTCTCTATGGTGGTTCCCTCTTCACTGAGTAGGTTATGAAAGGCCTGGAACCTGTTGCTGAGGGCTATGTTAAATTCGTTGAGTTTGTCAGCATCTCGAAGAAAGGCCGTGTTAAACTTTTGTGATGTTGTCCGCGCCATTGTCCAGTGCTTCTTGAGTTTTAGTTTCATCTTGGCGACCAGCAAATGGTGATCGGATGCTATATCAGCTCCTCTCCTGGTTCTCACATCCTCCATCGTCCTCCTGAACTTTTTGTTGATGCAGACATGGTCGATTTGATTCTGTGTAGTGTGATCCGGTGAAATCCAAGTGGCTTTGTGTACGTTTTTGTGTGGGAATATGGTGCCACCTATGACCAGTTTATTGAAGGCACATAGGTTTGCAAATCTCTCACCGTTTTCGTTCCTTTCTCCCAGTCCATGTTGTCCCATGACGTCTTCGTATCCAGTGTTGTCCTTTCCAACCTTGGCATTGAAATCTCCCATTAGAATGGTCAGGTCCTTGGTTGGGCACTTCTCAAAGATTGACTGCAGCCTATCGTAGAATTGGTTTTTAGCGTCTTCATCGTAGTCGTTGGTCGGCGCATAGCATTGGATGATGTTCATTGTAATGCCCTCTCTCTTTGTTCTGAAGGAGGCTTTGATGATCCTCGGTCCATGAGATTCCCATCCTATAAGTGCATTTTGTGCTTTTTTAGACAGCATCAGTGCCACTCCTTGTGTATGTGGGGCATTTTCTTCTTCATGACCGGAGTATAACAGAAGTTCCCCTGAAGACAGTCGTTGTTGTCCAACCTGCGTCCAATGTGTTTCACTGATTCCAAGCACTTCCAGGTTGTATTTCCTCATTTCCGCAGAAATTTGGAAGACTCTGCCGGTCTCCCACATTGTCCGGACATTCCATGTACCTATAAAAATTGTCGCTCTGGTTGTAAGAAGGTGCATCGGCCTCATGACTTCCGAAGGAACTCGGCTTTCATCATGAGACGTCATTTTTCCTTCTACTCCCAGGGCAGAGTTTGAATGGTTTGAATGAATTTTTCTGGTTAGCGTTTTTTTAGCGAGTTGATTTTCTACGGGATGGGGTCGCTAACCCCATGCCCAACCCTCCTCCTTTACCCGGGCTTGGGACCGGCAGTAGCCCCTGGAGGAGCTACAGGCGGAGTTAAGACAAATTAACAGTAAAAACAAATTCCGTTTCTTACTATCTTACCTGTATCTGTAAAAACTAGTGTATTTCTGTATTTGAACACAAACATTGGCACAAGGGGGTACAAATACATACGCGCCATACAATATCAATGAAGTTGTGAAGAAATAAAGAATGTGAAGTGCGTATAATAAAAGGAGAACAACAACTAACAAAAATTAGTGTATGGGAGTGAAATAATAACAATAGTGAGGGAAAAATTCGGTTAGAAAAAATTCTTTCAGTTAGACAAGTTACATTCATTTATCAAGAAATTTATAGTAGGATCGCTACTGGCTTATATTCTGAGTTATGTCTGATAACATCTCCAACCATTATGCTGCACCATCTCTAGGATCCCAACCAGAGAATCGTCAAAGACACAGAAACCAGTCCTGTAAAGCTCTCTTTCATACCACAACACCATGTCATACACTGACCACCTCTCCGCTTTTCCAACGAATACTAAACGGCGAGGAATTCTCTGGGACGAAATTCGTGGAATATGTCCAACCCACCGAAGTCGATGTTTCAAGGTAGTGACACTAATTGAGATTTCGTCACTGTGCCCGAACACGCGTTTCTGAACCTCAGCATTACTAACATGATGTTGCCACCGGATGTCAGCAATCCTTCGAACACAACAATAATCAAACAGAGAGAGTCGTCTAACATCTAACCCGGAGAGGTCATGTCTCAAGCACAAAGCAAAACTGCTCTCACCGATGCGTTCTAGATCCAATCATTTACAGCCAGATTAACATCAAGAAGGCGCCAAAAATAACCCAAATTGGCATAAACCACTCTGGTTTTCACTATACGTGAATCGATCTAATCACACATGCCACCACCAGCATTTATGCAACTATCAAGATACACGAATTTATCGACTACTCACTATCCAGAGTGAGTGCAAGATCAGGGGCTTACCAGTATTGTAAAAGTATTTTGCATTTAGAAGGTGCAAAGCATGCCATATCAGCGGACACTGACTAAATGCGAGTTTCATGGCTTGGATATCATCGCACAATAAGACAATATCATCCGCATACTAAAGGTCGAAAAGTTTTTCTCCATGAAACAGGTCCACACCATCACTACCTACATCCGTCAGAGCCGTTTCCAG